CCCCCCCCCCGAGATTATTAGCAAGTTTTCTTTTAAATTTCATGTATATCAAGATGCAAATGAATTATAATGATTCAGTATCACTTAAATGTTACAGTATATGTGCATATACTATTCAGTGGATATATCAAACACATCCGCAAGGGTGATGTTTTCCTTTTGAGAAGACTTAAGTATTGTATAAGAGAAAAAGTTGACTTGTTTAAAAACAGTAGGGCAACCAACACTCCTTATCTTGTCTGAAAAATCAAAGGAGATCATTCTTGCAAACTGGAATCTGTTTAATCATCAGGCTTCCTTAAACATATTTCTGACTTTGTTAACAGCCTTGAGATTAAGATGAGCCTGGCATTCACATTTCAGGCATTTTAAACATGTCTTAATTATTAAATAGTCAAGTTTCTTTAAGTAATTAGAAATTTTCAGATGGCAGTGCGTCAGATGGGTTCTGTTGGTTTGAAGAAATGATCACCACCAAATGGCTTTGGAGAAAATTCTAACTAACAAAAGCTTAGTAAAACTAATTTTATTTCACAGTTTGTTAATGCCATACTCTTGCGTAGTGTTCCTCGTCAAAATATTTCACTTTGCAAAGGAAGAGGCATAATTATCCCCGTGTTATAGATGGGCACACTGAAACAGAAGGGTGAGTTGCTGCACAGCCTGAGGCAGGTCAGTTCAGCTGCAGATCTGGGAGATGAACCAAGGTGGTCCCTGGCAAGTAACTTTCTCCTTTCTCACTGGGATGTTGAGCCAAGTGCTTGGGCTTGTGGTATATTTGTGTCCTTCTTATATTTATCCAGACATTTTGGGGGAGAAACTGCAGTAAGGGAGAACATTTCCTGAGAGTGTTTTGTTGCTAAAAAAGGTCCTTTCTGCTTTGGTAAAAAAAACACCGATAAGCGTAGAGGATAAAGAAATGAGAAGGGAAGGTTTTAGAGTGTGTGTGCGTGTGTGTTGTAAGATCAAAGAGAGCGGAAAGAAAGGGAAAAGACTTCTGTACATTCATGGGAGTTCCCTGTATTTGTAGATCTACGTATCTTTCCTCCTTTCTTATTCTTTTCCTTTTCGCTACTCTTTAAATAGTGGCTTCTATGAATAAAGGAAAAAAGCAGTACTGGATATCTGGGATTGGGCATCTGCACGTAGTGCCCGTATGCAAGTTCAAACCCAAGGACCGTCTGTTCCATAGTGAATGAGTTTTGCAGGCTACAGTTCTGGGGAGAGAAATGTAACGTTTTTTTGTAAATAAAAACTGTTTGCTTATTTTACAAATGAGCATCTAAATTCTCTAGCCTATAAGTGCAGAACAGCTAGTTTATTGGCAGAAAGAAAGAAATGTAGAAAATATGTGAAGCAGGCTTGGGGCTTAGAATACAAGGTTCAAAGCCAAAGTTTAGGCTTCCATTTTTGGAAGTCTTGACCAAAGAACTTTTATAAATCCATAATTGGCGTCTGTTACAATTGTGACAGCAACACTAGACATGTGCCCTGCTTATGCCCACCTCATTGTATTTATGCCAGGGGAAGGGATTGGCTGGCAAAATGTCAGCAGAATTGGCTCTGCCAGCTAAGAGTTGCACTGGCATTGTTCTGCTTGCCATCTTGCCATCTCTGGCTGCTTTAAGTAATGAATTTGCAAATATGGGCCCCCTCCAAGTCTGCCATGTATTATAATATACTACAGTTCTTGTAGTTTTGCTGGACAGTTTGCCTGAAAATAATTACTGTTGCACTGGGTATACTGTGATACTAGAGATGGGTACTATGGCCTTGTAACACAAATAAAACACTCCCTGCATTTGTAACACTAATGTGCAAAGGAGAACCTCCTTTTACTTTTTTATTTATGTGAGAACACATAGTCTTAAATGTAGCATTTTATAACTGAAGAAATGGTGAGCCTATTTCCCGTGGACACTAAAGCTTCTTTATGCTGTTCTTGCATAAATTACTATTACACCCATTTTGAGTCTCCTTTATACTGACAGAGCCATGTAAAGAGACCTTCATGTCAACAGAAATGAAACCCAAAATTCTCAGAGAGATGTCATTCTTTCTGGGCCTGATCCAGTGCCCATTCAAGTCGATATGAAGGCTCCATTGGTTGTGAATCAGTGTTGGATGCAGGCCTTTGTTCAGCAACAGCAGTGTGTTATGTGGTGTGCAAGATGCAAAAGAAAGACTGCACCTGCCTTGGGGATTTTAAAAGTAGAAATAGGCTGCTTCTTTTGCAGTAGGAGATTGGGATTGAATCCCTGTCTTTAGGTGCAAGATGGATCTGGTTGCATGAGGCATTCTGACTGGCAAGCTGTCTCCATTTCACCAGTGTTGATTTTTTTTTCCTTAATCTAAAAAAAGGCACTTTGACAATGGAGGAAAAATGTAGTGCATCAATACTGTTGTGACTTAATGTTTTGGAATTTTGTATACCATTCGTAATAAAAATAGAGAGAAGGGATGAAACGTAATGTGAATTTTCTTGTCAGCCTTGGATGAGTGCATGCAACAAGTAGAGTCAGGGAAGCAGAAGCAACATATAGAGTTAAGTGTTAGGTTGCAATAGTTTTACCATGAGGCTTCAATCTGTGTTGCAAACTAACAATGGCTTTCTCCATTCCTTCTGCTTGTACAGTTTATCCTCTCAGTTGAGATCAAAGTTCTGTGTCACCATTCAGTGGCACTACCTTCTACTTCAAGCTTGAATCATGGAGACGGGGATTATCATTTACTCTTTTCTGCTGTCTGCACATGATACAAAGCAACAGAAGGGAGGAGAATGCAAGTTAAGCATATGTAAGGAAGGGCCTGAATGAGGTTGATACAGAGCCTGAAATGAGGTTGATACAGAATGGGGCAACATGTGGTGGGAAAAACTAGCAATCCTCTGCTTCCATTTAGAACCAATTCACTATTTGCTCATTGCTTGACTTGCTTCTGAGGGGTGGTGTTGGTGGGAGAGAGACCGCGGAAAATAGGTTCTTTAAGGTCTGTATCTGGCACTTTTCCTTCTCAAAACTGGAGAAGGTAGTGAACACTTAATAGCCAGGCATCTGTCCCAGTTATCCCAGCTTACTTTTGCTGAGCACACATGGCATTGTTGTCTTAGTCTAGGGGCAGGCAATTTATTTTTGCGCGAGGACTGCTTAGTAAGTTTTGGTGAGCTGTCAAGCTGCATGGGTAGCCCTGCCTCTTGACAGTTGCTCCACCCCTGGTTGCCATATTGCATGCAGCCCCCACTGCTGGCAGCAGCAGGTGGGGGCACTTGTGCTCTGTACTGGGGCCCTGTGGTGTGCAGCTCTGCACATGGGGACAAGGAGCACAGCCTGCCCAGCCCACCTCTATTGTGTGGGCTCCATATAATGTGCCTGCAGCTCCTGCACTCAGGGAACCACACTCAGCACTGAGAGAAGCCCAAGTGGGAGCTGGCTGCCTTCCCTGCCTCCTGCTGCACAGGTGCCAGGACTCCATGGGGAAGCAGGATCTGGTGCTCCCCTTCACTTCCAGCATAGTCCCGGGACCTGTGCGGGTGGGGGGAAAAGCAACTGGCTCCAGTGCGGGGATAGAGGCAGGCCAGCCAGCTGCGCTCTTTGCCCCCACGCACAGCGTTGTCTGGCACTGCGTGCTGGGCAGCAGCGCCTGCATGGGGCACAAGTGCCCCAAGCGTCCCCACCTGCTGCTGCTACTACCAGCAGCAGGGGCTGCACGCCATATAGGGGAATGGTAGGGGGAATCCCCACACTCCCCCACCCTCCCTCACACTCACACTCTGCCCAACTGAGCTCCATGCTCCCACCACACCCTGGGCTGCCTCCAATCCCAGACCCATGCTCTCTGCCCCTGTCCAGCTGCAGCTCCACCCCATTCCTGCCCCCACCACTTCCCTGCCTGCTGCCCAGAGCGAGCAGGACGTTGGGGAAGATGAGCAGGTGCCCCAGTGGCTGCAGCAGTGGCAGCAGCAGCCCTGCCCGGAAGCTGCTGCTGGCTGGGCCAAGCCCTTCCACCCATGAGGGTGGAAGCAAGGCACAATAGGGTATGTTGTGGGGTGTGTGTGTATATGTTTGCACCTCACTCCTACCCTTGTGGGTGGAAGGGCTGGGCAGGGTACAATTCGTTGGTTGGGTGTCCGTAGGCCAGATGAAAGTTGCCTGGTGGGTCAGATGCATCCTGCAGGCCATATTTTGCCCACCCTGTCTTAGTACAACTAAGAGCTGATCTACACAGAAAAGTTTTACCAGTTATATTAGCAGTGTTAAACAGATATAATTATTACTGGTATAATCCTGCACTCTTCTGGGGTGATGCACTTATTCCAGTATAAGAGTGACTTTTTTGCCACTTGTTTGAAGCACCTTCAAAATGATGCAAGCTTAACTGGGGTAGGGGGGAGGACCAGAAGTACAGTATGTCTATGGAGACTTATCTTTTTTATAACTCCATTAATTTAAATTCACACCTGTGTTAATGCAGCAAAATAGTCCCATGTAGATAAGTCATAGAGCTACTATAGCATCAGTAAGTCCCCTTCTCCACTCTCCTCCCAGCCCCTGATAAATGTAGGCAAATTGTGGAGCAGACATTAAGGGAGTAGGACAAGCTTGGAGAATGTGGGTAGGTACTAATGGACATGGCTGCCAGAATGCTTTTTGATCACCATCCAGTGTATTGTAAGGTACAGTATTATTTTTTTTAATTTGGTTCAGCCCTGCATATGATGTGATCTCCTAGGGAAGAAGGAGATTTCTCCAGTTTGCAGGAGGTTAAATTTGTCTTCCTTATTTGATGGTTCTGCTGGTTGGATGTCCTCATCCTGGAATGTTGCTCCTTGTAGTACTAGAGCCTCATTTAGAGGGAGTAGCTTACTTTAGCTGAAAGGTCTGTTGAAGGACTGTTTTACATTCCAGACAGAAGAAAGTTGTAACATTTCATTTTGGTTTCTAAAACTGGTGTTAGGTTCATAGTGCATCCACGTGACTTAAAAATATCCAGGTAGCAAAACAGAACCTATAGGTAAAAACTGGTGATTACGTACCAAGGATATTAATAATGCTGTTTGTTTTTTGCTTCTGTGTTTTATTTTTAGGATTTCTTCTTTTATTCATTAGTGTATGATCCGCAACAAAAGACTCTCTTGGCTGATAAAGGAGAAATTCGAGTTGGAAACAGATATCAGGCAGATATAACGGACTTATTAAAAGAGGGTAATTTTCACTATTTCTTTAGAATTACCTTGTTGAAAATGGTCTTTTTTGCATGTACATAGGTTGTATGTCTCATGGGAAGAGGAATGTTTCACTTCTGGATCACATGGGGACCTATGGCTGGGTTGGTTAATGACTAAAGTTATTGCCAGCTGGAGGCAATTAGTTGGATTTTAGTCCAGTCTTAAGTGGGCAGTTGTCCAGATCATAAAATCTTATGAAAAAAATGGATTGAATTAATTGGCTCTCTTAGAGCCTACTATTTTATAAAAGACACTTGTGAACTGCCAGGAGGACAGATCCCACTCTCCTTCCCCTCACCCTCTCCCCCCCTGCATGTAGAACCTTCTGTGTTATGAGGCAAGCCGCTCCTTCTGCCAAAGTCCACTAAAAACCTGTCTCCCATTAAATGCCTCTCATGAAGCTGCCCATAACTTATTGGGTACCCTCTCACTGTAGTTGCCTCATCACCCATCACTTTTGGCTGCTCCTTCAGGACCTTGGCCTGTGGAGTAGGAGGGATGGATTGCTGGTCCTCCAGTGGTATGTCTAAGGCAGGGGCGGGCAATTATTTTGGGCAGAGGGCCGCTTACCGAGTTTCAGCAAGTCATTGAGGGCTGCTCGACAGGCAGCCCAGGGCACATTAGTATTAATTTTCTAAATTTTTTAGGGGCCCTGTGGGCTGGATAGAATGGCCTGGCAGGCTGCATCCAACCCCCGGGCCACATTTTGCCCACCCCTGGTCTAAGGGACAGAGGTGCCATAGGAATGGTTATTCTTTTCCCCACAGCTGTAAGTAAAGGGAAGCTGGGCAGTAGTTGGTGCTATGGAGAGCTTCACTTTCTTATAGCTTGGGCTCAGAACAGGGAGACAGCCAGTGAGGGCAATGTGGGGATCATCTCTTCCTTTCTCCAGAAGAGGAGCGGTTCTGAATCAGTGCAAGGGACTTCACCAACCCCTTTCTTCTACACAGGCCACAGGTGTGAAATAACACTGATACTTAGTCACTTGTAGAACAGACGGATTTCAATTCCTTTTTGCTCTGCATGTGAAACTAATATTATTTCAGCGGCAGCTTGGCTAGCTTGTCAAGAGGAGGAAAAACAGCTAACCGTATAGGAGCTTCCTCTTTGCCCCTGGGAAGTTGGAAGTGAGGGCAAAAAAGAATCCTCAAAGCTTTTGAAGAGAGCATAGCATTCCCAGACTTCCTTATTGCTTCCTGACTCCTCTTATGTCCTCTGGATTGGGAAGAGAAGGAAACTGGAGGCAGGAGTGTCTGATAGCTGTGAAAGATTGTGCTATAATGCCTCCAACAGAGTACCTTCTGATCGATTTGGCGCTGCTGCTTGTGTGGGGAATGAGAAGGTTGAATCTGGAGGGCTGAAGAGAACTTGCAATGAGAGAAAGAAGGGAGAAGGAAGAAACAGATCAGGCAATATGGAGGGAGCTAGTTAAACAAGTGACATGAAAATTGGGCCTAAAGGACTACTTAAAAAAAAGAAAATAAAAACAGTAAAATGTGGCAAAGGTGAAAGTAAAAGGGAAATGAAAGAAGAATGACAATGAAGGCATGTATTTAAAAATCTGTTTTGTGGCTTGCTGAGTATAATAAGCAGTGCTATGTGAAAAGATCCCAAATTCTCAGCTTTTTGTTGCCAGGAACTGGTGTACAATAAACAATGACATGTTTCAGCTTTATGCTGCAGTGCACAGTATTACCAGAGGCTGCTTAGTTAGTTTTTAGATTGGAACATAAATGGGTTTTTTTCATAAGAAAACATGCACACACATAATATTAATATCAAATATGCAAATGCTTTCTGTATACTTAATACATCAAGCATATAAGTCAACATTTTCCTGTATGCTTCACTGAAAAAGTTGAACAAACTGGCAATTTCACTGCATTTTTATGCATGTTTCACATTGCTGATCAGATGAGCATGTTGCCTTAGAAAATAGTTTTCTGGCAGCTGTAGACAGTTAATAGTCTACCTCTCCAAGCATCATGTGCTGCTTCTTTATAGTGAAGCATTTCTAGACTCCCTAGGCCAGCCTGTAGGGACCTTTCACAGTATGAAAGTAACTGAGGAAATGCTTTATGAAGTAAGAACTCTGAAATAAATTGAAGCAGCAACTGCTCCAGAATAGGGTTGGTTGGCAATAGCTGACCTCTGTCTTTTGCATCTGATGATATAGAAAAATGTGAATAAGCACTGTTAAGAGGGGATGGATGTGAACAAGTTTAGAAAACTGTACCAGGCATCAAGAAGAGTAGCCTAAAATGACAGTAAGGGATATGGGCCCCAGTGTAGACCAGAGAGCACTGTGGTAGGAATTGGAATGTATTTTGCAGTGCCAGTGCTTGGGAATCTGACTGTGGGCCAGGCAGAGCAGGTAGCTGTACATCCAGTTGCCAGGCAGGGCTGAGTTTGCCAAAGACAAATGACTGAATGGAATTTGAAATTGCAGCCAGATAATGTACCTCTGACAAATGAAGCGTCTTGGGAGTTAAATAATTGTTTTGTGAGAGACAAAATCCAGAAGTAAAATACTTTTTATTCTTTTGAAATCTTCTATACCAAACATTTTTAACTTGCATTTCAACTAGGTGAGGATGATGGAAGAGATCAATCAAAACTTGAAACAAAAGTTTGGGAAGCATTTAACCCACTAGTAGACAAACAGATAGACCAGTTCTTGGTTGTAGCACGGTAAGAAAACTTGATCTTTTTCTCGGGAATAACTGAAAATACGAATCTGTTTTCAAAAACATTTATCCCTTTAACCTTCTTCTGTCTCTATCCCAGTGTTCATGTTCTGTGTGCTTGTCTGGTATGAGCTTTTAAATGAATCAAACAAATCAGTAACCAAAAAGTATGTGGCTTGCATGCTGTAGTGAGAGATGTTACTTGAGTTTTAAGAGTCTTATAAGTTCATACTCTACAATACCAGAAAAAGCAAATCAATTAAAAATCTGTATCGACACCTAATTTCTCTATATATTGACAAATCACAGTAGTTGACTATTTTAGCATTCAGTTTGAGTGTGATAAGGGTTTTCTTATATGTAATTTCCAGGAGGGCTGGTACAGTATTATGATGGTTTAGTTGCAGTTTAACTTTGGGCAAAACCTCTAAAGTCAGTGTGATTGCTGGATGCTAAAAATATTCATACCTCTTCCATTTTACACCATTATTTTTTTTTAATGTCCTTGGATTTCTTTGTCCTATAGGCTTATGCAAATATAGTAATTACCAAGGTGTCTTATAGTAGAAGTATTGGACTTGAATTCCAGCCTGTGAATGAAAAACTTTAAATGGTTAAATGGAAATAATGACAATGGAAATTCTTATGGTCTATTAGAGAAATTTATAGAACTGTTTTTGAAAGCCTAAAATCAATGGAAAATTGGTGGATTCATTGGCATCTGGGGAGAGGGGTGCAGTTAATCAGTGGAAGCAGGTGTTAATTGGAGAGAGGAGTGTAGGAAGTAGCGAACTGCTAGCAGAGATTTGTTTTTCTAGAATGTAGAAACTTCTCTGTATTGGGTATGGTAGTGGCTGGATCTCGATTCAGCAATTGTCCCTGTTCAGTGAAATGCTTAAGTACTTTAGGCAGACAAGGTTCTTTGGGTAGATGTGATATATTTTATTAGTCCAACTAAGTAGTTGCAGAAGTTGTTCTTTGGAAGTTTTTGGGTACAAACATCCTTCTTCAGGCACAGGAAGAGTTTGTTATTCTTTAAGAAGGCAGTGGGTACCCGAAAGCTTCTAAAGAATGATTTTTCCAACTATTTAGTTGGTCTAATAGAAGATATCACAGTTATCCAAAGACTCTTGTCTGCCTGTGTCCTAAGACCAACACAGCTACAACCAACAACCCCTTAAGTACTTTAGATGTTTTCCTAAATGAGGGTGGACTAATCTATGCCCTCTGGTGAAACGGAGCCATGGTTCTGTGAAAAGATTCTTTCTTAGGTAGTAGCGTTAAATCTTCACGGTGTTTAAATCCCTAGAGAATAGCATGCATTTGGAGCCAGGTCAGGAAAGCATCCATAATAAAGAAGGGGGCTTAAAAATAAGCTGAAGACCTGCTCTGAATTGGAGCCACTACTTAGTATAAACATGAAAGCTGATGGTCAGTACCACAGAGGCATGTTCAGTATTTACCAAATATCAGTGAACAAATTCAGAATGCTAAGGTGAGATATAATGTAGGACCTTGTAGGGAAGAAATGAATGAATAAAGTGAAGGAATCGGGTTAATTCTTCTGTACTTGCAAATATTTTTAAAAAGCAAGAGGAAGATTTTGACATTCAACTAAAAAAAGAGCAGAAAATGTTATTTCCCCCAGATTTTGTTTTTAGATCAAATGGGTCACTGAAGGAAACTTCAGCCAAACTTTTCAAAAACGGCTAGTCGATTTTGGATTTCCAGTTTGAACATCTAACTGAAAGCTCTTTGAAGACTCTCAGCCACAGTGTAGGCTGTGTAGGAGGGAGACAAAGGTGAAACATGATTGGCTAAACTGAGGCAAAAATGTTATTCTTGTTCTGTGTTGGAAAATATCATAGCTAGCTTGGGCTTAACTAATAATGCAGGCACTCCCTAGCTCCCCTGGAGTCATTTGTGTTGTGGCTACATCAAAAGGAGAGAACCACAGTGAAATTTACTGATGCTAGTAACTTTTCCATGTTGCTGATTACACAATATATTATTGTTCCCTTTGATTTGTGTAATCGCTAAAGCAAAAGTTTGCGTCTAGGCCACTGGCTTTGACACACCACTGGTTTCTTCTGGAACAGAAGAAAATAATAATAAAAATAAGGTAAGTGAGGAGTAAGGGGAAGTAGAGGAGAGAGGGTATGTCTGTGTGACATGTAGTGCTGTGCAGAGCTAGTTTGTATGGCAGGGGCAATATAGCTGTGTTAGCATGGCATTTGGCCCTGGTTAATTAGCTAAAAACAAAACATAGTAGCCAAGACAGAGTGCTGCACTAATGCCGCAGTGCCTCCTTTTTGTCCCCAATTAGCTTTCATATCATCCATGTATGTGTTGCCATAAGTATAACATTGATCAGTTCTGCTTCTGGTTGGAGTTTGATCATGCTGATTATATTTGAGAAACTTGGAAAGATATGACAAACTGGAACTGGATGTGGTGAAGGAGCATGGGGATGACATGAATTCTGGGACTGTAATCAGATAAGCTGGAAAGGCTGGTATCAAGAATAACCTGAGTAGTACTATTCCCAATACAGGCCTTTCTGTAAACATAGTTGCCATATTTTCTAACATACAACACACACCTGTTTCCCTGTCAAATCAGCCCCCTGAAATTGGGGTGCATGTTTTTTTTAGCAGGGAAACTGTTTTCTTTGCTGGAAAAGGAGCAGTTCTGGAGAAACTGTCCATCTTCCAAGATGGCTGCTGCTTGTGTCTGTTCAGCAAACTTTAAGGGGTAGAGTATTGTGTTAACCCTGTCACAGCCAGAGTTTTTTGGTTGATCACTGTTGTGCCTGATGTAGCAAGTAAGTTGCTGGTAGGATATTGATGAGGCTTTATGATGTGGAAACACCACTTCATTTGCAGGAACTTTATATATAAAAAAACTACTTTATGGTAAAGAAGTAATAGTCTTTTTACTGCTTCTTGCAAGAATCTGGGGCCTAACTTTGTGGGACATGGAGTAAGTCCTTCTGAGAGCACAGTGTCGAAGAAGTGTGGCATTGCAGGAAGTAGTCTGCCACAGAGATGCTACTCTTCCTGGACACTCTGTTTCCAGGAGGATTTATTCTGTTGCATAGTTGGGCGTGACTCTGGAAAAATCTTTTGTCTACATTCTTCCGTCTGAAAACAAGGTGTGTGTTTTATTTGGGAGCGTGTTGTATGTGAGTAAATATGGTATCTTGTGTTACAAAATATTTAATGGTTTAAATGTGAATAGGCTGAAATGTTTAGAGAAATTTAATTTGGATCACTGCTGTTCCTCCTTCCACCTGTTGTTTTGGCAGCTGCCTCTTCTCCTCTGTGCCTTCAGATAATTAAAATCTGTTCTCATCATTGTGAAAAGGATTTTGATGTTCCTGAAACTTGTTTTAGACCAAGTTTCCAGTGCAATGCTGATCCAGGAGCTGCTGTGAGAAGATAGAGGAGCATCTTTATCATTCCTGAGTGCCTCACTGTATCTCCTTTATATAAGCATAACTGGATAGTCATGTGAGCTAAACAGAATGAAACATTTGACATAACAAGCTACATCTGAGGAAAGTGATCTCTGTCGTAGAAGTAGAGCCAAAATATTTAGTCTTGATACCAAATAATGAAGCCTGCTAGCCTCCTCAGAAGTGCTGTTTAGACATTTTTACTGTATTCACTTTGCATGCAAGGTTAATGTTCTGTTTAATCCTTTTCAGCTCTGTTGGTACATTTGCCCGAGCTCTAGACTGCAGTAGTTCTGTCAGACAGCCAAGTTTGCACATGAGTGCTGCAGCAGCCTCCAGGGACATTACACTGGTAAGATTTTAAGAGGATTTGGGGAAGATTTTGACAGAAATGTAAAATACGTACCTTAGTTACATCGGTAAGAGAGGGGGTAGATGGATTGTGTAGTCTGTTAGGATCCGGCTATTGTTTTGCAAAGGATCTTTTTCTTTCCTTTTGTAATAAGTCTTTAAAGTTAAAGTTGTGCAATCATGGATCAGTTTGCAGCAAGATTAGAGAGTGCCACTTTGGAAATGTTAATGTTTTCTGCCCAGTTCTTTCTAGTCACATAAGGGATTGCATGCACTAAGTAGTTATGCTGAAAAACACAAAGACTATTTGGCTGTTGTGTATGGTGGGATAAATCTGGAATGCTATGTCTGATCAATTCCAAAAATTCAGGGCTATTCTAGGCAACATTGGACAAAAAAGACCACAATAGAAATTCTAATAATCTGATTGTTCTTCCCTAGTAATAAATGTTGCTTTTCACAACAGCCTGTTTTTTTCATTACTTTTATTTGTAAGTAATTTAAAAACAGAAGTAGTTATAGCATTTTCTAAATATAAATGATTGTGGATTTGAATAGTGAGATGAAAAGGAAAATTTAGGTTGAATATCAGGGTAAACATCCTGATGACAAGATGCATTTGTTTTGTTAGAGCGTTTCTGGAGAGAAGTGAAAGTCCCATTGTTGGAGCCATTAAAACTTTACCTAGAAAAAGCACTGTAGAATAAATTCATATGCACAAAACTTTAAAAATGATTAATAACCTTACTCATTAACAACATATAACATCTGACACAAAACTACAAAACTCAGAGAATGAGGCCAAGTCTTGACACTATTTATATTATGACATCATAAACACAACCATATGCCAGACCTAGTCAAAGAAAATGATCAGTTTTCAATTCCAGTAAACCTAAACTCTGCTGTCTGTGGAAGGATGATGCTCCTGGGGATGATTCCCTGCTAGCTGTGTGTTTTTGATGTGCGCTGCTTTCCCTTTAGGATGTTGACTGTTTTTTAAGTGTTTTGGGTTGCCCAGAAGGGGTATTTATGCTCTTAGATTTCTAGTTATAATTGCTATAGATGGTTAGATAAATAAAACGTACAACAAGTTTAAGTTTTGCATGTCTTGTCCTCTGAGCTTGTTCTGTTGTGGAAATTATGGCTACGTGGGATCACCTTTTCCCAAAAACACCATTATTAGTTAATATGATCCATTTCTTGTCTTAAAATGTTCATTCTGGGGTTGGAAAAATATTTACTCTCTTTAGGCAGAAGGCAGGACTTCAGACTAACATTGTTAACTACTTCTATCTGTTTTTGTTAAGTGGAAGTATGTGTTCTTCTTTGAATTCAGCACAAGATATATATCACCATCAGGTTCCTGTCATAGCTGCTTCATGTTTAAGTGTTTGTTTTCTCTGTGGTTGTACTTACAGTGTCTCTGTTTTTGTTTTTTGTTTTTTTTTTTAATCTGCTATTTAGTTCCATGCTATGGACACTTTGCACAAAAATGTCTATGACATTTCCAAGGCAATCTCTGCCCTTGTACCACAAGGTGGGCCGGTCTTGTGCAGGGATGAAATGGAGGAATGGTCTGCTTCGGAGGCAAATCTCTTTGAGGAAGCACTAGAAAAATATGGAAAAGATTTCACTGACATTCAGCAAGATTTTGTAAGTGAATAGTTATGGCTTTGAACTTGTGAACATCAACCAAGCTATGAGCAACTCTTTCCAGCTTCAAAATGCTACTGCCTAACAACAGACATGTATTTCAGTTGATACATAATCTAGTATCTTCTTTCTGTTCTGAAAAAGAGGAATCTCTAAGCATTTGTCAAACTATAAATTGGAAGACAAAGATTGTTGGGGGCAGGGAGGCTCCTGTATACTTTATGATAATTTTTAAAACACTGGGATTAAAAATGGACATTGCCTTTATTTGCCTTTGCAGCTGTAAAAAATTTTTTATGGTGGTGCAAAGGCAAAATAAGCAGACAGTCATATACCCCTTGTCATGCCACAAATGCCCACAATTCTTGGCCATGACAAAGGAGGTAATAGATTGTGCTGCTTTGTGGCAGACATTTGTTTGCTTGCTGGAGGGAGACCACTTTCCAGCTGCCCTGGGCAGGTACTCTGGAGACTTGAGGGGCTTGATCCTGTACACCTTGGGAATTTCTTGGGCAGGATCGGGTGCTACAAGCACCTGGAGCACTTGCCTGGCTTTCTCCTTTTACAGAGACGTGGACCAGGGAATCTTGGGATGCATCTCAGTAAGTGGGGAAAGCTGGAGTTTCTCCACTTATGGAGACAAAACCGCAAGGATCTTCCTGCTGTCCCTTCATAATCAGGGAAAGTCTGGGATTCTCTGCTTAGAGAGACACTCCTGGGAAATCTCGGGGGTGCATCTCCATAAGTGGGGGGAACTCCACACTCTCCCTGTTTAAAGGGATGCACCCTCATGATATGCAGGGAGGCACAGGAGCTGGGAAGTGTCTGGCACCCTGTGCCTCCATGCTGGGGAATCCCTAGCTCCTGCACCACACTGACCCATGCCTCCACATGAAGCACAGGTCCCAGCCTGGAGACATGGGGCACTGGGCTCCAGCTCCCATGCTGCCCCATTCCTCCTTGCCATGACCCCTGCAAATCTGTTTCACTTAGGACTGGTCAACCTGGGTCCCAGCAAGAAGGCACAGGGCAGCAAGAGGTAGGGAATGTCTTTAGCAAAGGAAACATGTCACCCCTTGTCCCACATTGGGTAGGAGTCCAGTGCAGGGCAAGGGGTGACACGTTTTGCTCAGTAAAGTGATTCAGTTATGGTGGATCATGTCAGCGATATTTGCTTCTACTGAACTGTAAATTGGGGGGGACAAATAGTGTGCGCTTGGGGTGGGGGGGGCAGAGCTTTTACTAAAGACGGCTGTATGCTCAATAATAATGTTTAACCTACAAATCATGATGATCTTTTCTTCAGTTCTTTTCTTTAGTTCTGTTAATTTAAAATTGTTTGGCTTACCACAATTGGATTCAGGATTTGGTGGAGTGTTGTAAAAGCCCAGGTATCCATTAAATTAATTTGTCTTGAGGAGTACAAGTACATGGACAAATCTTTTGAGATTTTTAGAGTGTTTATTCAAAAGCTATTTTAGAAACTCCTCTCTAAACGTTTATTTTAATTTTTTTTTTTTAAGTTGTCTTGGGACATTGCCCCTTGGACCTGGTGGGGCATACTGTCTGCACTAAAGTTCCTTGATAGGAACAAAACAGAAGTAGTATCCAAGTGACTTGGGTAGAGGGACTTGGAACCAGCCCAACATTGTTTTGCTGTGGCTCCATCTAAGGTTCTTGTGCTTCTGATCTAGCAAGTAGAGGTGCCAGAGCATTGTGGCTCCTCTATATGCTGTCTCCTGCTGGACAGAGCAAATTAAAATTGTGCCTATGCTCTGTGTCATTGCATGCCAGAGAGTCTGAGTCAGTGTGGCACTTACCACACTGGGTCTTTGCTCCTTGAATGGAGTGAAGTGGAGCCAACACAGAATGGTTTTACCTATGCTGTGCCCCAGTTCTAAAGTGAAGGCTTTGTACTTGAAAAGCATTTACATGGATCTTGAGTGCTTGGTGCCTGTAAGAAGTCCAGATAATGACTGGCTTCTTTATTAGGAAGATATATCATGTATCAAACACTTTGTGCTGTAAGACTTCTGTCAAAGGAATCATGACAATTTGTGAAGCGCTGTACTGGCTTCCTGTGATGACTGTGTTGCTTTTTCTTCATGTCCCTAGCTTCCATGGAAGTCCTTAACCAGCATAATAGAGTATTATTATATGTGGAAAACTACAGACAGATACGTTCAGCAGGTAAGAGAAATTAGCACGGCTCCTTTAATTCTAACAGGAGCTGTTCTTGCTGCCTTTAAAGGGGAGCATTGCTGCTTTGATCTCTCTTGCTTGCTTTCTCTTGGGGTTCAGTGTCTGCAATAAGTGGATTTCACTGGGCTCCAGACCATGGGAAGTGGCCCCCCATCACTAAATTCTTCAGCCTCCATGAAGAGGTAAACCTGCGGCATTCCCATTTGTGTTCCTTACACAACTGCTCCTTCTCTTATTGTCTGTTAGAAGAACTTTCAAAAGACTGCTGCAGAACATATTAGCTTATCTTAAGTTTGGGGATGGAAATAAAATGAATCCCCACATATTACAGTGTTCAAAGTCAGCACTTGCTTCAGCAGCAAACTTCCCATAGATTTCCATGGGGAGGAGGTGGATGCTGTATAAAACAGCCTCTCCATGGTTATGCCTTGTCTCTACCTGCTCATACCAGGACTACAGATTCAAATGCTTGCCCCTCCAGTGGAGGAACTTAGAGCATTCATAATAACATGCATCTTTTGGGGAGGGCAAGAGGGTGGAACGGGGGAGAGTAGTTGATGGGCTGTGATTCCCTAACTCAGTTGTGTTCAAAGCACAGCCTGTGGGTTGGATCTGGCCTGTGGAGCGCTCTCCAGGAAATTTGGCAGTGGTGGCACTATTGACTGCTGTAGCTCTGGGAACTCTTTGTCAAGTAATGCTGCCAGTGCTCCCCTGCCACTACGTTTTTGGAACTGTGGGAACGCCACAGGGCAGCATAACGTGGCCTCATGTTGGATCAGGTCCTTGCATTGCCTGGACCCAGCACACAGCTGCAGGATTGGGCCACACACCAGATGCAGCCCTTGGGCTGTCTGTGTCCCACTTACTCTTTCCCATGCACCAGAAAGATTGAGCAGCACTACCTGAGCCCATGCACGTACAAGCCAATTTGGGCTATTATTTGCTCCCGTTATATCTCATCAGTATTTAAACATGAGAATGATTTGGTCCTTTAAATAGTCAAAGTACAGTACCAGAAACATGGAAATCCAGTTACTGAAAACTAGCTGTAAGAGTTGGATGGGATAGTTCACAAAGAAGAGAGAGAGAAATCTCTGCCTAAGCATTTCTAATATAGCCAGCATCGTGTTATTAGATCTAATATACTTATAACAATTTATATTAGTGAGAAGAATACCTAGTGGGAAAAAAAAGTTAGCTTCCTTCATTGAACAGCAGGCTTTGAGATAAGCCTGTTTATAACTGTGAACCGCCCCACCAAACAGTGCTGTAAGCTTGGCGTGCCCCCACACTGCACAGTGCACGCCCAGAAGAAGCATCGCATTAGTTTGACCTGGTTTGCCCAACGTCTGTATAGATTGGGTGCTTCAGCAGGGCTTTTTGGTGCTTTTATCTAAAGCTGATTGAATCAGCTTTAGATAAAAGCACCAAAAAGCCCCACTGAAGCACTTGATCTATACAGAGTCTGGGGAGCTGGGTTGAACTAACGTACTACCTCATCCAGTAAAGCTCCATTTTCCTTCTCTCCCCTGGCAAACAGTCTGCCAGGTCCTAGATATCTAAAACATGTATTTTGTATTTGCCTAAGTTGTGAAATGAATGTGGAGCTCCCTGTCATGCCATTTACTTTTTTCATTTTCAGAGTAGAACTCCACTTTTAGTTGCATTGAGATATTGTGGATAGATTAGACTAATGAATGAGCATGTGTGTTTTGTATGTAGTATTGTTATTATTGACATCCTTATTACTGTCCTTACTATAAGCAAGACATACTCTCTCTTCTTTTTGAGAGAATTAAGCAATAGAAATGTGGGACATAAAAAGGAAGTGTGGTGGGGTGGAAAAATACTGAAAAGAAGCAAGCCTTCATTTTTCTCCTTTAAACTGTATGTACTGTTGACACAGTAATTGGCTTCTGCTCTTCTTGTGTGTGTGTGTGGCTATCATTGTTAAGAGGGCTAATGGAGAGGCATGCTCTCTCTGTGGTGCAAATAAAGCAGCTGCATGTAGGGAAGTCTTTCATGTCTCCCTGTTTTGTTAGTTAGTTCTTGATTGTGGAATGAAAATTCAACTCCTTGGGAGTGGGCTCAGGGTGGCTAACATTATGAGAAGTCATCTGGCTTACGAAAACTGGGCTGGTTGAAGTGTAGATTATCAGGGTCAGAACTGAACATCTGACCTCCTTCCTGGTGAAGCCAAGGAAGGAGGCTCTTCTTGTCTTGCAGTTGCTTTGATCTTTCCAGATGTGTACAGGACTATGACAGATTTAAATATTTTTCAAAGTTAAGACACTTTAAACTGCTGTTACTAAATTTCTGAAATATATATGTTTGTAGGTATTAAAAGCAGGCTTTTTGGCTTGCTGGCTAGACAGTCGCATGGATCTACAATGGGGCAGGCAATTATTTTGGGCAGAGGGCCGCTTACTGAGTTTTGGCAAGCCATCAAGGGCTTCATGGCAGGCAGCCCAGGGCAGATGAATATTAATTTTCTAAATTTTTTAGGGGCCCTGCGGGCTGGACAAAGGTGTGGTGGGCCACATCCAGCCTCCGGGCCACATTTTGCCCACCCCTGATCTACAAGGTCTTTCCTTTATGGGGCAAGGAAGGGGCTGGGGTGATATATGAAGCAGAAAATTAAGAGGTTCTTGCATTGTTGGTCTATTGTGACCTCTAACCAGCATGATTAGTGTTTACTGCTCTAAAGAGCTGTATCCAGTCCAGGGCTGCTGAGATATTGGGCAAGGGGAAAAACTGGGGCAGTTGTAAAACCCTTGTTTTTTGTATTCAGTACCTTTTAATTAAGAAATAGTAACTTGTTTCTTTTGCTGTTCCTTTTCCTCTTCATTTTGGTTCTGTAGACATGATAGTCCAAAATATTAATTGCATGAAAGGCTTTGTTACCTTCTTTGTTTTTGCAACAATTTAAAACACAGCAATTTCTAATGATCATGTTGGCACATGTACATAAAGAGTACCTTACAGTCATGAATATATCAGCCCATCTCTCCTATGCTGCTCAACAGTGTAGCTGAAAGCAGGAATTTGGGATAAAATTTAGAGTTGTACTTGTGACTTCTGGAGGTAATTTGTGGATTGAGTTAATTTAGTCAGAACTGAGCTAATTATCACATCTCAAATTCTCAAATATTGCAAGCAACTAGTAATAAATATCAAGGTTTTTTTTTGTTTTTTTTTTTAAACATCTAGGGCAGTGTCATTCCTGTGTGTGGTCATAAAACACCGTAGCTCAATGTGTTTGAAACAATTGCTTTTTAAAATTGCTATTCACTTAGTGAGGTGCCCCCCTATCCTGTTGGTACTCCTCCCCTCCTTCCAACTTCCCTTCCATAGTTAGGATTCACGGCTTGTGCTGCTGTGAGTAGGTGCAGGAACTAGAGAAACCAGAAGATCAGATGAGCCACCTCTCCAGCCTGGATCTGATATTTGACACCTGCCCCAGAGCATAGAATCATTTGTGTTTGAAAAATCTGGAAAAGTTCAAGTTGAACAGGGACCAGTGGGTGGAATGGGTTAGTACAGGGTCCCTTTGTCTTTAAGGGATTAGAATTATATGGTTGAGGTGGACACAGTTTATCTTGGGATACTTTAATTTGATAAGCTGTTTCAGTTTCTTTTGTGGTATAGGACTAGCATGCCACTAGTTTCTTGTGGTTTCCTGTCTGTAGTAATGTTTCTCTTTCTCAAATATTGCAGGCTTAATTCTGCCTACCTTTTAGTATGTAAGACTATAAGTTCACTAGCATAACTAAAGACTGAAACATCTGAGGAAAAAAAAAAGGGAGCAGATCTCCCAGGGTAAGTCTTTTGGGAGTAGAGTGCTCTCATTCTCCACAATTGAATTTAAGAGATTTTTTTCCTTTCTGGACCCCCATTGCTTGGTGTTCTAATGTTGGGGTAAATGGCCCTGTGATATGTACTGAACTTCTTGATACTGGTCTGTATAGCTGCAAGATTGTTTTTATGGGAGAAACCATTTCAGAATTGTCCTGAAAAAGGTTGAGCGAAACATCATCAGTCTACTGTTCCTTGCATCCCCTTGAATGAAATACTGCCGTCTTAAAATAGATTGGCCAAGTCTGTTCACTAGAGAGCACATCTCTGAATTGGAAATAGTTGGGGAGAGAGGACTATTGATATAACTTCTACTTGTTACCTTATCAACCTCTTCACTGGTGATTTGAAAACTTCTTTAAAAGAGAGGGGCTTGTATGGAACATTGTTATATTTTAATGTAAGAGAAGAAGGAGAGTTCTTTAATTTCTCAGCCCCAGGAGGATGATCCTTCTGAAGCAGGATGAACACATCCATGACACTTGGCAGACATGCAGTACAATGTCCTGAAGTACTCTTGGTTATAACAAGGCAAGTTACACAAGAAGAATGTTATAGTGATCCAGTAGCTCAGAAATAATTGTGCGTATGTGTGTTAACCCCCCCAAAAAACAAAACAAAACCCAACAACCCCATGAACCTGGGTTTGACTTGAGGTTGTCAAGTGGGATGTGTTAATATAATTGAGTTTTGTTGTCTCCAATGAGAGATGATATAATTAAGGTAAAACTAACTGCAAATATTAGTTGGGGCATTGCAAAGGGATGGCAAGGGTAAAAGATTGTGAGGCTGCTTGGGTTAGTGTTGTTGTGCGTCTTGAGAATTGCAGACTTCTCACTTATTTTTATCTTTTGCCCTTTCCCTGACATGCACACCCACAGCCTGTAACCTTGAGAAGATTAGGGCTTAAAGGACAGCAGCATGCAAGTGTGACTCATAAGGTCAGGAAGCAGGTGACAGGGGAAAGAGGCTGCAAAGCAAGATTTGGGAAGAGGAGTGGGAGGGAGAGACAGAGGTGAGCGAGATTATTTGGAGTTCTCCATGGACTGAAGAATGGGGAGCAGAAAAAGAGAAACAAAAGTAGATAAATTGAAGGGGCCTACATTTATATGGGATCTATGCTTTAGAGGATT